CCCACCACACACACACACACACACATACACACATACCACATGGCAAGCCAACCGGCAGCAACTGCCGCAGCTGCAGCCTCTAGCGCCGCCGCCGCCCGCGGGTGGGCGTCGAGCTTGTGGCACTCGCCGCGGGTAGTGAAAGCCCGGACGCTGTGGGACGAATGGGGCATGGCTCTCGGCATTGTGCGTGTCCTCGTCACACTGTACTTTGTCAACCTCTCGTCGACCCATCTGGAGCTGTTTGTCCTCGGCGTGCCAGGCATGCCCTGGTTCTCGCCCTTTGTCCTCGTCGCCGCTCTCCTCGCCATGGCCAACAAGTGGTTCCACATCACCGGCTCGGTCCTTGTGGCCAAGGCGAGCTACGACACCGGCTACATCATCCTCTCCCGCATTGTCCAATGGCTCTCTGGTGGCCCGTTTTATGTCAACGAGCTCATGGTCAAGATGATGGCCATTCTCGGCTGCGCCGTCCTGCTCCTCTCCCGCGACGGCTACTTTGCCGACGTCAAGACCCCGTCGGCTATCGCTGGCCTGCTCCTCTCGCAGCCGACCCGTGCCGAGCGCGAGGCCTCGTCGCCGCGCCGCTCACTCCTCCTCCTTGCCTCGCGCCTCCTCATGTGCTCGCTCTTCATCTGGGTCGGCGTCACTGAGCTCTCGCGCCTCGCCGTCACCGAGGTCCATCACGGCGACCACGTTCATCGCAGGCCCGACGGCGACGGCCATGCCTCGTTCTGGCCCAAGGTCTTCCAGTTTGTCTTTGCCCTCCCGCTGCTCGTCGGCCTCGGCACTCGCTACGTCTCGCGCGCCCTCGCCGCCGTCCTTGCCTTTGAGGCCCTGTGGTACTGGGAGTTCTGGGCGACCAAGCTCGGTCTCGGCTACGCCATCCACGCCCGCCATCACTTTGCCGTCAACATGGCTGTAGCTGGCGGCCTCACCCTGCTCGGCTCGGTCGGCGCTGGCAAGTACTCTGTGGATGCTTTGCTCGACAAGAAGAATAAGTAACAGACATACCGTGCCTAATCCAGCGCCTTGTACGCCACATCGACCCGAGCAACGCCGTCGGCAATCGTAGCGTAGTCTGACGGCGAGGTTGACGAGTTGATGACCGTCAACGTGTCGTCAAATGCCTTCTTGCCCGCGCGCACATCGTCGGGCGTCGCCTCGCCGAGCTCGATGAGGAGCGCGGCGGCGGCGCCGACACAGGATGAGATCTGCGCCCACCGGACTCGGTCGTTGCTCTTGGTAAATGTCTTGAGCGCCATCGAGTGGAAGGCGAGCGCGTCGCGCGCATCGCTAGCACTGCGGCTCTCGTAGCCGCGGACATACAGCGCGCCTGCGAGGTTGTTCACCACCGTCGCCACCTGGACCGGCGAGATCCTCGCCGCCGCGCCCTTGTGCTTGCCGATCGCGCCCATGAACTTTCGCGAGTACTTGATGATCTCCTCGTTGCGGACGCTCTCGGGAACCCACATGCGTGCACCAGCGAGCATGCTCAAATACAGCAGCGAGCCGAGCATCTCTGGCCCGTGCGTCGACCACCGCCCACGCGCCGCCGCCATCGTCTTGCGGAAGCAGATCATGGCTGCGTCGAGCTCCTGTCGCCCCATAAAGCCCTGCGCGGCGAGGAAAAAATCGGTCGGGTTCGGCTCAGCCGTGTTGAGCAGCGCGTACGCCAGCTGGCCCTCGGCCGACCCGAGCGCCACCGCCTTGAGCGCCTCGGTATCGTTGGCGGTCACTGCGTCGACCACCGCCTTCATCGCCGCCTCCATGCTTGGCGTCCGCTTGAGGTCTTCCATCGTCATCTGCCGCACATGGCAGGCAGTGCCGCTCGGCCCAGCTCCAGCTCCAGCCCCAGCCCCAGCCCCCACTTCACACTTGGCCGCAGCTCCATCCTTGTCCGCCCCGCTCTCCTTGCACGCCCCGCTCTCCTTGCACGCCACCTTGTGGCTCTTCCAGTCGGCGACCTGGCACTCGCGCGAGCAGTAGACCATGCTCTTGCAGCGTGAGCACCGCTTGGTCCCGACCTTCCCTGTGGTACACGCGCCGTGGCCGCAGCACTTTGCATGACTTTCGGCCTCCATCTCTTGCCCTATCTGCTGCGGTACGACAAGTGCTGCCGCAAGCGTGTGAGTTGCGAGTGGCGCCAGTCGTCGTCGCAAAAAGGTCGTGATTTCTGGCGCGGCCAGTTTGCCACCCAATCTGTTGAAACGTTCACCTGCCCAAGCACACGCACACGCACACGCAGACACACACATACACCTACGCACACCTCACCTCGTCACCACTACCGCCACTGCTGCCACTACCACTACTGCCTCCGCTACCGCCAGCACTGTATCCACCTCCCCCCCCCCCACCCGCCTTCAAAAAAAAAAAAAAAAACCCGGCGGAGCC